GCCTTTAAGACCCCAGACACTATACCTTTTGATAGCCGGGCACCATCAGCTTTCTTCACCACATCATAAAATTATTTTCATTGCTATTTCATAACTGTCATTTTGCTACTGTTATGAATTGGGCGACCCCTGTGAAAGGGTCGTTCGACTCCCAAAGGGGTGGGGTCGCAACCCACAAGTTGAGAACCGCTGCTTTAGATGATGGAACACAAACCCAACCAATTGTATAGAGTTGGTTCCGACTCATAGAGTCCCTGTAAGACAGAGCCTCAAACTCTCCCTCACTGCCTCTGAGACCCTTCTGATTCATAGTGACCATAGGGGGTAGACTATTACTGCCTCTGTGGGTGTTCCATGCTGCAAATCTTTATGGGAACAGAAAACCTCACCTGTCTCACTTGGAGCAGCTGGTGGGTTTCAACTGCTGACCTGCTAGCAGCCTAATGCATAATGCATGATGCCACCAGGACTCCTCCATAGGATGGAGTAGGATTGCCCTATAGGTATTCCAAGGCTGTCAATCTTTGTGGAAACAGACTGTCCCACCGTTCTCCCACAGAGTGGCTGGTGGGGCTGAACCTTGACCTTTCAAGTGCTTAACCACTGCACCTCTAGGGTTCCTTAAGAAACACGAGTGTGGTTTTCATCACACATGTGTCGATGGAATCAAGGAGACCCATGTGGTTTGCAGGTGGCAAAGGCCTAATGGGTTGTGATTTTTTAAAAATTGAAGATTTTTAGTCTGGAGGGCCCTGGCTTTTTTTTTTTTAATGTTTAATTTTTAAAAATTGTAATAAATCATTTTAGTGGGGGCTCGCACAACTCTTATCACAATCCATCCATCCATTGTGCCCGGCACATTTGTACATCTGTTGCCATCATCAGTTTCAAATCATTTTCTTTCCACTTGAGCCCTTGGTATCAGCTCCCCATTTTTCCCCCTCCCTCCCTCATGAATCCTCGATAATTTATAGATTATTTATTATTATTATTATTTCATGTCTTTTACTGATCAATGTCTCTCTTCACCCACTTTTCTGTTGTCCATCCCCTGGGAGGGGGTTATAGGTAGATTATTGTGATAGGTTCCTCCTATTTCCCTCCCACCTTCCCCTTCCCCTCCTGGTATGGCTATTCTCAATATTGGTCCTGAGGGGTTATCTGTGCTGGATTCCCTGTGTTTCCAGCTCTTGTCTATACCCATATACAAGACCCAGAATAAAAAATCATATCATTGTGAATGAAGGGGAGTGTGGAGTGGAGACCTAAAGTCCATCTGTAGGCTACTGGACATCCCCTTACAGAAGGGATGCAGGGAGGAGACGAGCCAGTCAGGGTGCAGTAAAGCACCGAT